CTGGTCACTACTGTTTTGGCTGTGTCCTAGAGGTGTTTGTAAGTAGTGTTTTCATTGTCATTTATTTCAAGAAATTTTTTTTAAATTTATTTTTTATGTCTTTTATTTCCCACTCATGTTCATGCAAGGTGTTGTTTAGCTTTCAAATGTGTGTTTGGTGTGTTTTTTTCCTTTTGTGTGGTCTGAGAAAATGTTTTGTATTATTTTTATGGGTTTTTTTTTAATTTATTGATGCATATTTTGTGACTTAAAATATGATCTGTTTTCAAGAATGTTCATTGGAGAAGAATGTGTACTGAGCCTTTTTTGGGGGTGCATTTACATATATACATATATACATATATACATATATACATATATACATATATACATATATACATATATACATATATACATATATACATATATACATATATACATATATACATATATACATATATACATATATACATATATACATATATACATATATACATATATACATATATGAGACTTAGTTGGTTTATTATGGTGTTTACTTCTTCAGCTTCTTTGTTGAGTTTCTTTCTGGTAGTTATTTCTTTCTAAATTATATTAAAGTTTGCTATGTTTATTTGTAGCTATATAATTTGGTGCATAGACATTTATTAGGGTTATGTCCCTCTTGTTTTCTTGACCCTTTAAGCATTTGTGACCTTCCTTGTCCTTTGTGATGGTTTTTATGCAGAAATCTTTTTTATCAGAGATTAATATTGCTACTCCTGCTTTTTGTCTGGTTACCATTTGTTTGATATATCTTCCCCCCACCTTTTATGTTTAGTCCTTCTTTTTTTTCACTTTTCAGGAGTTTTTCTTTTTTTTCTTCTTCTTTTTTTAACTTGTTGTTTGCTGTCAAATTGGTTCCATCTTCAGCAGAGCATCTGGTGTATTTGAACCATGTGCCTCCAGGATTGCAGTGCAGCTTCTTGCCAGTAGGCCACTACAGCTCCCTTCAGGTGTGTTTCTTGTAGACAGCGTATTGATGGATTTGGGTGTCTATTCAGTCTGCTATTCTTTTTCTCTTCAGTGGTGCATTCAAATCATTCACACATAGTGCAATTATTGAGAGGCAAGGTTTTGTTGCTATCATTTTGTTGAGTTCTTTTTGGTGTTGTTGATGTTTTCTTTGGTCCATCCTGCTTTTTGTGGCATCTCTGTAAGTAGGACTTCACTCACTATATCCTGCAACACTGGTCTTATTTATACAAACACTCTTAAATTCTGCTTTCCAGATAACCTCTTTATCTTTCTATCATATTTGATGGACAGTTTTTTCTGGGTACAGTATTCTTGGTTGACATTTATGTACTTTGTGTGTTTGATATATGTCATTCCACTGTCTCCTTGCTCTCATAGTTTCTTCTGAGAAATTGGCACTTAATCTGATTTGCTATCCCTTATAAGTTACTCTTCATTTTTCCCTAACTGCTCTCAGAATTCTCGCTTTGTCTTTGATTCTGGCAAATTTGACTATGATATGCCTTGGTGTTTTTCTTCTGGGGTCTATTCTATATGGGATTCGCTCAGCTTCTGGTATATATATTCCCTCATTCTTCATTATGCCTGGAAAGTTTTCTTCTAGTAATTCTTTCAAACTTTCTTGGTGCCTTTACTTGCTTTTTCCTGTTCTGGAATTCCAGTTATGTACATGTTATTCCTCTTGATGGTGTCCCACATTATTCTTAGGCTTTCTTGTTTTTCTTTCTTTTTTGATTCTGCTTTTTATTCTAGCAGGTCAATGCTGAGAACTGTATCTTCTGGTTCACTGGTTCTCTGTTTCATCTTTTCAACTCATATGTCCATCCACCATATTGACAGCATCTGAGACACTGGTCATCAGTATTCTGGATTGCAGTTTTTCTAGAGCTTCTAATGCCTCATTTTTTTTATCTGTGTTGTCTTTGATTGCTGGCTTGTTGAGGCTTTAATCTTGGAAATGAGATCCAATCCTGGTGGTTACCTCTAAGGCTAATAATAGATTTTTTACAGCTTCCTTAGGATAGAGTTCTTGCTAAGTCTGATAAGGCATTAGAAGAGGAGGCGCTGTCATTCAGATAGACAGAGAAGGGAGAAAGAAAGCGCTTATAAGGGAGCTCTTTGCTAATGCAAGTCTCCATCCTCAAGGAGGGGGATCAGAGCAGCAGCACTTTATAAATTGTAAGGATGGACCTCTCCCTGGAGAATGACATCATGGTTGGAAGGGTGTAGGCATAGTGTAAGAGCGGAAGTCCTTGGATGAAATAGATTGACTCAGTGACTGGGGTAATGGGGGTAGCTGTGTCAGAGACATTGAGGTTGGCTTAGGATAGAGCAGGGTTCAGAGCTGTTGTATAATGAGTGCTGTGAGTTGGAAGGGACTTGACAGCATTGCATATTCATCAATTGTCTAGGGAAAGCTGGCCCAGATAGGAAGGGTTGTGATAATTAAGTGCCCATGCATCTGGCTCTCCAAGATGGAAACTGTTGCAGAGGTTACTGGGCCAATGACTGTTTGTTATGGGATAGATGGTGTGCATGTGCAGTCGTGGACTGTTGTTCTAGCTGAAGCCTTGCTCTCTGCTGCTTCTAGAGGAAGGTCAGATAGTGGTAGGAGGTTGGTGGCCTGTGCTTGCTGAAGGACTCAGTTCCACCAAAATATAAAACTTAAGACACTGTAACAAGAATGGATTGCTCCCTGAAGTGGGTGTGGGCCTGTTTACATAGGGAAGTAACTGCCTTGTCATTTTCTGACCTAACACGGTGCCTCTGAGATCTGGCGCTAGATTCCCTGTCTCAGATTTTTTGTGGTGGTGGTGTTGTCGTTGTTATGTGCCATCAAGTCACCTGCAACTCATAGTGACCCTCTGCACAATAGCTCTGAAGCCTGTGCTGTCCTCAGCCAATCTCACTGACTTCGATACACTTACCCCCACTGACCTAATCACTATATCAATCCACCTCATCCTGGATCTTCCTCTCCTGCTCTGTCTTCCACCCTTCCAAGCATGATGCCCTTCTCCAAGGATCAGTCCCTCCTGGCAGTATGCCCAAAGTATGTGAGATGCATTAACCTAGAAAATAAACATTAGAGGACAAGAAAGGGAGGAGCAAGGACCTGGAAGAATAGACACAGGAAAAGCAGAGTGAAAATGGAATCAGTTCTTGAATAGGAAACTAATTTGCTATGAAAACTGTCACCTAAAACAACAAAATGTAAAGAAGAAAGTTTTATCAACTATCAGGCTCTTCTGTACTGGATTGATAAATACTGAAAATATTGTAGTTCTGCCTCTCTTACGCATTTCTAAATGTTACTTTACTGTAAAATAAATATAAGAGGTGAAGGGGGGAAGCAGTGTGGGGAGTTGTTACCATGCGTTGTGGAGTTGGAAATGACACTCTGAATTGCACAGGAAGAGAATGCCTATCTTTCTCCTAAGTAGCAGCTGTTGGATTAAAATACTATCTTTAGATTGACAGCACAACTACTTAACCACTAGGCTACCAGAGTTCCAGTATGGGTTGGGGAGGAGCAAATATTTTTAATTCTAGTTGCCCTAGGATCAGCCCTGATTCCTGGGGAAATTTATATATAACATAATAGAATAGAGCATTTTCTGGTTATCATCTTGATATGTGAACATTTTGCATATAAATATAAATAAACATAAACATAACAGAGAAGAATTAGGAAATATTTTTAGCGTTGAGTTTTTCAGGCTCTTAATATTCCTTATCTAGTCTTATTTGGCCAGTGAGAATGTTCTCACACCCTACTCTTACTTTCTTTGTGACATGCCTCCTTCCTTTTTTTAGCCCATCTTTTCTCTGTAGAGGGAATTCTGGTGGCAAGTTGTTGTGTACCATCAAGTCAGAACTGACCCACCAACTAGCAGGTGTCACAGGCAATAACTGCATGAGAATTGACTGCTCTTTTTTTCCCCTTGGAACAAATGGCAAACTAGAATTGTGTACCTTTGTGTTAACAGCCCAGTTCCTTACTACCAGTTGCTCCTCAGGAGAGAAAGATGAATAGTCTTCTCCCATGCGATTTACTGCCACTGAAGACCTGCTGAGGGTCAGCTATGAGTAGATTCTGACTTGATGGTGATGAGATCAAGGTTTTTAGTTACTTTTTAGAATAGTAAAATAAGGAATATACTCCCTAGTCCAAGAATCATATATTTCTCTGAGGAGCCTTAGTGCCATTTGTTAGGAAATGGAGTTAGATAATAGGGTCTGGGCACAAAGAAAATACCATTTGCTCTTGTATATGTTTTTCCTCCTTTCTTGGCACACCACCATCTTCATTGTATTGAAGAAGCCAAGCAGTTTTGTCTGGCAATTTTTTTTTTTAGCAAACACGTTAATCTCTGATTTCCCCCCAGTGTTCTCCTTTGACCAACAAGATTTAACTTGCTTATCTGGGTTTGATTTGATGTGCTTCTACAGAATTGTAGTGTTCCTACATGTGTGCTGTTTGTGAGGTTTTTAGTTCAGATCATTGCAAGAATCTTCCATTTTACTTTAATAGAGATTTGAAGGAGGCACGCTTGAATACTAGCTATTAGAAAAGATTTAAAATTTTTAAAACCAAATAGATTTCATGGAAACACTTAATATGATTTTTTAAAAATTCACCTGAAATTTTATTAAGTGATATTATTTCTAAAGTACCTCAACTGGTTATCCATTTCTTCTTGATTATTCAAAGAATTTCCCAACTAGGATTAAAATTACCTATATTCTTAAAATCTTTCCCTGCAATAAATACTTACTGGTACCTCTGGTTCTAGATAACTCCCATTACCCCAAAACCCACTGCTGCTCTAGAAATACTGTGGTTGGATTCTGAGGCTGCTGGTAATCTGGTACCTATTACTTGGTTGCATCTTATACATTTCTTGGTTATCTCTTACGTTTTACAGTTTATGGATATTCCCACAGTGTCTCTCATCTCCTATAACTCGTGTCCTTTCCCGGTTGTGTATCTGTCTTCTCAGGTGAGGTACATTTGTTCTGCTTTGGGTTGTCGTCGCTGGGACAATGATGAAATGGAACAAGAAGACATCCTGCTCCTGCAGCGCACCCAGAAGACTGTTAGAGCCGTGGGACCTCGTAGTGGCAACGAGAAGTATGCTTTTATGTTGTGTTGATGTTATTTACTTAACCATATACCTAACACCAAAAGTCATGAGATTTTTCTTTGTGGAGGTTTCCTGAACTATTTTGTTGTCCTAAAAATATAACTAACTAGTCTTTTAAAAGAAACGTAGGTCCTAAATTTAAAATGGCCTCCTGGTTAACTTCATACTGTGTTTCAAAATTTGGGAACCGAAAGAGGTCCCATACAATGACTATATTTGTTGTTGATTGCCTTCAAGTCGAGTACAACTCATAGTGACCGTACGAACAAAAGGCTTGAAGCCCCTCTACAACTGTTGATAGAGTTTCTGGAGATACGTTATTTAGGAAGTGTATGCCACTCTTGCTTCCAAATTTAGTCCTAAGTTATATAACTTTTTCTGCAACTTCACTAATCAAAGTTCTTTGAATGTAAAAAGCTATTAAGACAGCTGATGTATCTTTTACTTCTTCTTGTTGTTGGGTTCTGTAGAGTTGGAACTGACCTCCAGTGGGTCTTTAGAGGCACGCGAGAGGAGATTGCCGGTCCTTCTCTTGCAGAGCAACTGGCAGATTTGAACCACATGCTTTACTTGGTTTTTCTATTTGGTGCCTATTTAACCCTGTATTTCTGTCTAGTAGAATGTTTCCCAGTTAAGTTTCACTATCCTAATAATAATTTTAGTTTCTTTTCTTAGAGTACCAAAATAGAATTTATTTAGACAAACCTTTTTTTCAAGAATTAATTCTTCATATAATGTTTTCATTTAAATATGTAATTTAAAAAATATGACATCTGGATTATATATGCTGACCTAAATCACATGCTTGAGATTTTTTTCTTTTTAAATTTTAAGTGTTTATGTAATAAAAATATTTTTACATCATTAACTTTTAAAAATGAGTCATGCTTTTAGATTTAACCTAATCTGGTTCAATATAAATCTGTTTTCTATCCTGAAGATTTTTCTCAAATTTTACTAAGAATATGCTGTACCTTCCCTGAACCATGAGTTAAGCTAACGTTGATGATGTTTTGTTTCCTTATATGTTTAAGTGCTTGTTGATTGTACCCAACAGAATTTTGAGTTAGAAAAGGGACAAACACTGCATAGTGTCACTGCTATAGAATGGGGCTGACATCAGGGTTAGGGTAAGAATGAGAAAAACTGCATGAATTATGTATACTGCATTGAAACCGATGAGGGAGAGAACAGTTTAAAAGCAATATATTTTAGGGCATTATGATTATCATAAGAGTCCAGAATGAAGGTTGCAGAGTGGAGTTACTCGGGGTGGGTGTGGGGGTGTGCGGGGCAATTGTATACCAATGAAGGAATTTTTCTTTTCCTTTTCAAAGAGAAGAGCGAACTGGGGATGGGGGTGGGGTGGGCAGGGAGAAGGGTTCAACAATGAATGAATGGAAATCCAAAATCTCTGTAAATGTTCATTGAAATTAATAAAAAAAATTTTTAAAAAAGGACTGATGTCAAAGATCCATCCTCTTTGGAAAAGAAACATATATCTAGGTAGATATTATGTCTATATTAGACAGATAAATTGATTAAGATTCTTACCTTTGTATGTAAGTGATCTGACACCATAAATAGTTAAGTACTAGTTCTGTTTAGTGGAATCTTTATCTGGCACTTTATTGGTAAGAGGTTATAAATTTATAACATTTCACGTAGAAATTGTTTAATTATCTTTACCTGATTTATGTAAGTGGTTTGCATAAATTAAAAAAATTGACAATGACTTATAAATTCCACCCAGTATATTGATTGAGATTAGTATACTGTATCATTCATATTTTCTGTTTGGGCATGTATTTTTGTATAAATAATAAAATGGATATATTGCCTTTTTTATTATTATTATTATTATTATTATATTATTAACTAAGGAATAATATATAATAATAAGGAACGATAATAAGGAAGACAGCATACAGCTTCATTTTCATTTGTCTCTGATGTATTTTGAGAAAAATACACTAATTTGGAAGAATGAACTTATTTTGAGAAAAGCTGCTCTGCAGGAAAAGGATGGGCAGTCTCCTCTCCTGTGATTAACCACCTCTGAGAACCTGTGGGAGGGTAGGCTACAGGTTAAGTCTTACTCAGTGGTATAGAGCACCTGCTGAGAACCATTGTTCCTGAGGGAGCAGGTCATGCGCTCCCTCTGGTGGTGTGAATCCTCAGTGCATGCCTTTCCTGAAGGTTTTATCAGAAGAGACTCTAAAAATTGCACTGGAGTTCAGAGAAGCCAAAGCACAAGGAAGAATTTAAGATACTAAAGAGTTGAATAGAAGATTTCAAAAGGCAGCACGGGATGACAAGGCAAAATATTACAATGAAATGTGCAAGGAGTTGGAGTCAGAAAATCAAAAGGGCCAAA